GGGGTTATTAGGGGTTGGGGGGTTAGGGTTAGGATTAGGTGCCGCATGTCCATGCGGGATCGCGGGATCCGGGATGGAGAGCATCGGTAAGGGATCCACGGCGGGGATGGGCTGGGCGGCACCCGTGCTAACAGGGGTGGGCCACCTCGCTGGGAAGTTTTCCGGCATGGGAAAGATCGAACCACGCGATGACGACGCGGTGGAGAAGCCACCGGCGTTTATCGTGGCGTGACGCCCCGGCGGCAGCTCCGAGGAGGCGTAGGTGGTCGATGCTAAAGCCGACGGCGGTGCCGCGAAGATAGACCCCCCAGACGAGGATGAGGCAATGTGTGTGCTAAAAGGTTTAGCCGAAGAAAAAGGAGGGGGGTTTGTAAAGATAGTACCCCCACTTGCCGCATTTTGAGTTGCGGCGAAAGGAAAGGCAGGGAAATCTTGAGTTGCTAGAGGCTGGTTGGCTGCCGAGGAGCCGGAGAGATGGGAAAGCGGTGCGGACGCCCCCCCACCCGAGCTAAAAGTGGTTGGATCAGGCTCCCTTGGGCTTCCATCTCCGTGATCCTTTAAATTGTCAGCCATATCCTCCCGCTTCGCATCCTCCAAGGCTTCCTTCGATTTGAGAAGCTTCCCTTCCGGATTCTTGAGGTGGTGTCGCCATTCATCAGCGTCCACACTTTCAGAGGCTGACAAGGCCTCTTGATGATTCTCATGTTTAACTCCTTCATCCTTCTCGAGCTGTTGCTTGACTCTCGTGCCCTTCCCCTTAGTATTCTTCGATCCCACGTCGTTAGACACCGCACTCACTACGGTGATAGGGTCAGTGAGGACGCCGGCATGAGCGAAGCGCGGTGCGGCGGTTTGGGTCCCGGCATCAGCACTCGAAGCCAGACGACGCTCTCGTTGGAGGTTCTCTATGGAGTAGCTGAACTGAAGTGAAAGCAAGCGAAGATGAGTCGCGACGGCCTCACGGTCCCTTTTTCGTTCATAACGGCATAGTACCAACGTCTGCTTCTTTGCTACCTCGGCTCTGGAACCGGCGAGCAGTCTTGGGGGTCGGCGCTCCTCCGCCACGACCGGTCTCACGCGCAGCACGCCCTTAAAGAGCGCCAAGAGCCTCTCTTGGGTCTCGGCGAGGGACTCCCCGAGCAGAAAATCTGTCGTGAAATGATAGGTTTTGGCAATACTTACGAAGTGCTCCAACGACAGCGGTTTGGCGTCCTCGGGCGGGAGGAGGATAGAAAGTAGCACCCCCGCAGTCCGCATAGCCGCTGCCAGGCCTGCCGTCGCCACGGTCTCCCCCGCCGCCGCGTCGATGGGCAGCGGGAGCAGACGGAGCGCATTACAGCAGTCCCGCACCCACCCCTTCGTCACCCTCTCGCAATGCGAGAAAGCAGGGGAAAGCTGTGCGTTCGAAGAGGGCGACATCACGTCATCCGAGGTTGATACGGGCGAATGGGCTTCTTTCTTTGCCGGCGCCGTATCGCTCGAGGGGACGAACGCCTCCCCCTCTTTCTCCTCGTCCTCCTGTGAAGCCTCGGAGTCTGACGACGACGACGACGCCGATGAAAATGACGCTTTCGAGTCCGAGGAAGACGAAACAGGAGAAGATGTTGCAGTGGAGGTCGCCGAGGACGATTCGGACAAGCTCTTCAGCGGCATCGCCTCGCCGAGGTCGGTTATGATATGCGTGGCGCTGGCGCCGTCGCTAACCAATGTCGCCCCGTGAGAGCCAAGCTGAAGAACCATCTCGCACTGCATCTGCTCCGGCGGAATAAAAAATCGGCAGAAGGAAAGCAATGTCGAGGTGGAAAGCGCGGTACAGGCAGCAATGGAAGTCCCTGGATACCGCACGCGCCACTCCGCCAGGGTGATGCAGTGGCAAAGGGCATAAAGAAGCTCCATTGAGGAAAGCACGGAAGGAAGAGGGGCCGCGCTCGGTAATAAGGCCTCTTTGTCGTGGTTCACTAACACAAGCTGTGAGGATAACAGGGGATCCCAACCCAATAAATCTCTAACTATTAAAACTGAGCTCGAGTACCGCACTGGATCGCAGCCCACGTTGACTAATGTATAAGGTTTCCCTCTATTGGAACGGCTCGCACCTGGGAATTGTGTTAAGCAATGGACATCGCTCACAACATCCTGCCATCCAAAGAGACGAATCAACTCTAGCGTTTTCCCAGTAGCCCACTCACTTAACACGTAGACACGGTTACCTGTACCCTTCAGTGTTTCGAGAAAAAAAGAGGCATTGGGATAAGAGGTCGACACCACAACCCTGCCGTCTTGGCGAAATGACCGCTGCTGCGGTTTGCCGGGACGACCCTCAAGCAAATTGGCATCAATACGTTCAAACGAGAGGAGCACGTCGATGGAAACAAAGAAGTCTATGCCTCCCCACATTAAAAAAGTGCACCGCTTCCTGGTTCGATCGACACCTACCCTTAATCAATAATATGTTTCGACGTTTGGTATGTCTGTATCTGATGTTGTTTTTTATCCTTTGAAAATTGCATTCGGTAAAGGAGAACACTTTTTCGAGGAGTACTACAAAAAATGAGGAGAAAGAAAAGAAGTGTAGAATAATAAATATATATAGTCATTATAAACGAAAAATAACAGTGTAAGTATTTTCTATTGGATACAGCATAATAAACAGATGCAAATATCGCTTAATGCCGATCTAATATAAGCAAAGAATGGTATTCAATCCTACTCTTCTCAACACATACGCCAAACTCGCGCAGACCGTTTCTCTTGAGCAATATAAAACAATACCAACTATCCCCTCGCCAATCAACACGCTGCGAAAAGCAATATATGTAATACGGAAATCAAATGAAACTGTTTCAGTGTTTGCTTTTTCTGTTTCAATCTAATTTATCAACTTGGTCAGGACTAAAATCGAAACCCTCCAGTCGATATCCCATAGGATGAGAAAGCCTTTCATATGTATTGAATGTCAACTCTCGCAAACACATCAAGGCAGCGGAGTAGGTGGTTGAACTGTTTAGTAATGCGCCGCAAGTCGTTCTAAGCTTTGCTGACAAATAGGAGCACATGGATCTGAGTACATTTCAATGCAGTTTACGCCGCTGTACCTTAGCATCAGATGTCGCCCTCAAAATACACTGCAACGCTTCCAGAGAATAGAGTATCGGGTCATGCCAGTGTACATAACATCTCCTAGCATGAAATTAATTTGTGATAAATGCATATCATTCCATTAAAAACTTTTCCTTAGGAAACGCATCTTACCCTTTTTGTACCTCATATTTATTCAGTTTGGATAGGTGCCAAGCCGTCGTTGAGATCGATCCTTACTCAAAGTTGTACCGACATGAGAAAACCGACATTTTTTCTTGTGTTCCTGTGAGATCCTCAAGCACCCAAACACACTCATCCCAGTGATAGAATAAAAAATATAGACACCCTCATTGGGCATCCTCGCGTTCATAGAGCCACCAGTTGAGGCGCCGTTCGACAGGCCACTCAGTCAAACGGGCGTGCTCTCTCTGTGTTAGCTGGGCAAAGCGGTGGTGGGTGTAATCGCTATCATTCACACAGCGCCCCCAAAGCCCGATGCGCGCGGACGGGACGCAGTCAAAGTTAACCATCACAGTAGTGATCCCACACCGTACGCAAAAACGGTACCGCCGCTCCCGATTGAAGTCCCGCTGCATGTGCCTTTGACTCTCAAGCCTAAAAAGATCCCTAGTACGCTTGTTAGCCTCGAAGGCATGGCTGCGGGGAATGGCGCCGAACTTCGTGAAGGAATAAAGTGAGTTTGGACCAAACACGTTGCTGCGAGACATGCGGAGTACCAACTAGGTAAAGGTCTCACACTAAAAAATATATCCTCATGCTAAATAATATTAACAAATATGAAGAGGGGAGAAATGTATGGTATGATCCGCACATTGTCAATCAACACTTTTAGCGTGAAATAAAAACATTTAAACCTCAAAGAATTCTCCTACAACTTGGTGTGCTACCACATGACGGAGATGCTTCTCAAATGACATTTTCTGCTTTGAGCACAGTTACTCGGATCATATTCACTCCCTCAGTAGGATTAAAAATGATATTTAGATTTATTATCAATGCTTAAATATACAATTTTTTAAGGTAAATGGCTCGAGAGACAGTGTCACTAGTACGTAAAGCTTCAGATCCTGAAAAACGAAAGCAAAGGCATTTTTTGCTTTGTTATCTTATTGTGCACATGTTTAATTCAAAACAAATCATGCATGAAGCCTCTTTTTGAAACTTTTTTTTGCCTTCTGACGAGCTGCCTCAGTGGCTGTTCGTTTCGCCGCGGCTATCTTCAGTTTCTTGTTAAGCTTCACATTCTTTTTCATCCGTTTCTTAACAATTTCTTCAAACTGTTGATTCTCCGTAATCCACTCATCCGCAAAAGACTTCAAGCGTTTTCGCTTGTTTTTACCAGTTTCAGCGAAGTAGCCAAACTCAACAAAGTCAGAAGACATATTCGAGCTTCTCTTTGGTGCCTGGTGCTGCGTGTCAGGATTGAGAAAATTTCGATATTGCAGAAGTTCAAGTTCCTGTTTCTCATCCTCATTGAGTTGGCGCTTCTTCATCCCATACCACTGTGTCAAGGTATCCTTTTGCTCACGTTTTTTCTTCCGGATATTATCCTTGCGATCTTTGTAACCCTGTACAGCATTTCTATCTTGGTAAAAAGTGTTGGACGTGGTAACCGCCTTTTTCATCATATCCTCTATAGATGACATTGGATCCTATAATTAAAAAAAAAAGAGATTTCTATACTTATCTTATAAAATTATCCCCACTATGTATCGTACAACGAAGAAGCCCCCCCGAAAAAAAATGCAGAAAAAAACAGTAAAGAAAACAAATATCAGATTTTTGGGGGGGATTATTCCAACTCTATAGATTGATTTCGGTTTCATACCAAAATGAATATAACATATTCCACTTTACGACTTGTATCAATAAATGTATTTTTTTTTCGAGTAATATAAAATGGGTAAATAACATAAGGAATAAGTTAATTAAATGTAGATATTCCACAGCAAATAAAATAAAGAGAGATAAAATAAACGTATATAAAAGCTCCAAATGTCTTTTATTTTGCTTTGTTGTATCCTAATTAGTATTTGAAAGGCTATAGTGTGTTTGGGACTGCAATATTTTTATCGTCTCCTCGAGCTTTAGTTTTTCCGAAAGGGTCGTCTGTAAAAGGCTCTGGAGACCACGTAGCGGCCCTACTGCTGCTTCCGCCTGAGGCAGGCCTTTTTTAGAACTCATAACCCGCTGGAGATCCTCGCGCAGCGCGGCGCAGTTGGACTGGAGAGCTTCAATCTGTGATGCAGAAGTCCATTTTTCTTGCTGTAAGATCGACAAGCGCAGCAGCAGCGCCGAGTTCTCGAGCTTCACCGCCTCAAAGGAGTCGAGACGCTCTGGATTATAGCGCTGTTCGATCTCGGTGAGCATGTGTGAGGCCTCTTCGAGAGAAAGGTCCGCGCAGCCCTGATGGGTAAGCTCGCACCTCACCGACGCATCCCGCCGCGGCGCCTCGTTTAGGCTGGCGTCGCCGACGCTGCAGAGCTCAATGAGAGTTGAGGGATCCTGGCGCAGCGAAAGCGCCCGGTACGAGGTGTTGCCGCCCAGTGAATTGTTGGAGGCGGTACGGTGCGCCCGGTCAAGCAGGCGAGCCTTCGTTTGAAGTTCCTCCTGCGAGCGCGCCAGGGCCTGCCGCAGCTCCCGGTTGAGCTGCTCCAAGCGGCGGATCTCCGCCCGGTTCCCCGCCGTCGCGGGGGAAGACTGTGGGACGGATTCCCGCGCAAGGGTCGACGGCGCATCTGGGGCCATTGAAGACGTCTCCCTCACCACCTCCTTTGCCGGGCCCATCCCCTCGCGACCCTCCGGAGCCCTTGGGGATGTCTCCCTCCTCCCGGCCTGCCGGCTTAACTCGTCATCTGCCAGCCGTTGGATGGTTGCCGAGACGTTCTGCGTCAGGAGGCGAGTGGTGGCCCGCCCGTAAAGTCCATCCCGGACCTCCAGTCGGTCAATCCGCCTCTTGAGCTCGCACACCTGACTGTCATATTTCCCTTTACGCTCGTTAAGCACTTGTCGCAGGCGTAACGCTTCCTTTTCGGCGCTACGGCAGCGTTCCTCATAAGTCCTAAGCGATTCGTCATTCTCGAGGTTCAATTCCATATTGTTAAGCTTACTGCGGTACTCCAAAAGGTTCTGCTTTAATGTGCCGTTCTCCTTGGTAAGCGCGCGAAGATGGGATTCCATATTGGTCCGTGTCGCCTCGTGCTTTGTATTGCTCTGCTGGAGTCGATCTACAATCGTTCGCAGTTCGTTGATTTGTCTTTGGAGGGTCTCCGTATTATACCGTTCTAAAGGGGTTAATTGGGGCACAGTACCGGGGCTTGGCTGACCCCATCCGTTCCCACCTACACCAATCGACATGTTGGCACCACCTTGGTTAGGCCTGACCGAAGATGGCAAAGGTATTTGATTTATTTCACACATGAAGTCGCGAGAGAGAAGACGATGCAGCTGGCCCTCTAATTGCATACTCTTTTCATTAAAAAAAGCGTTCTGCGTCTGAAGAGTTTCTAACTGTACTTTAAGCTGGCTTTCGCGATATTCCACACAGTCTATGGTTTCTTTCATTAACTTTAGTTCATCCTTTAAAGTATGCGCAGACGATGCAGATGACTGCAAAAGAGTCATAAGATGCTGCGCTTCTTCCACTCCTAAACTAGCCAAGCCATTACCATCAATTTGCTGGGATTGGAATGCGGAACGAAGCGCAGCATTTTCCTCCTGTATCATGTGAAGTTGTTCGCGTGCTTCAATAAGATCTTCCTCTAACCGATGTCGTTCCTGTACCTGTTGCTGCACCTGAATTTGTGTGGAAGCAAGGAGATGCTGGGCAGCCTCCATTGCCAGAACCTTTGCTTGGAGCATCACATTTACCTTTTCAGACCCTTCCGACGTAGAGTTCGCACTGACGCAGCCTTCGCCGCCTTGCGAAGAAGCGAACCTACCATTTGAGGCCTCCAACGGCTTCGGTTGCTCCCTAGGCAGTACAACAGCGGCTTCCACAACATTGCCCTTGACGCTGCTAGTCGATACCTCTTTAATGGGAACAACCCGTCCAAAGACCACCCCACCCACCACGGGATCGTCGCTGCCCGCACTATGGACGGCAGGAGTTTGCTCCACAGAAAGCGCACACCCGATCGCGGGAGTCGCGTTCACAAGCGGAGCCCCGGCCGCGACCTCCGGGGATCTCGAACCGATGCGCCGCACGTTTCTAAGGGACATTCTCGCGGGGGGAGAGTCGTTTTCCGCGAGGCGGCCCACCTCCTTGTAAAGGGTATCCAGTAGCGCTTTTTGTGCCTCATGTTGCTCATAAAGAACCTCGTACGACGATACGAGATCCTCTACAGTGGCAGGGAGGCGTACCCTTTTACTAGTGAAACGGCCAACTTTTCGGGAAGAGGAATCAGGATTCTTCCCTGATGACGGTAACACTGAGCTAGAAGAGGTCGAATGATTTGCGCCGCCCCCCGCACTTTTACCATCGTGAGCTTTGCTGGAAGTCAACTCAGGCTGCCTTTTCTCATTAAAAGAAGAGCCGACGGGAGCAGGAAGAGAATGACTTTCAGACTCGAAGCCACCACTCGACGTTGGCTCACACGGCACATGATTTAACTCCCTTTCCGAGTGTGAGCGCGTCAGTAAACGATGGACCGTTTCAACCACAGAGGTTGCTGACACATTGGAACTCTGCAAAGGTACGAAGGAAGTAATATCCATCACCTACATGTTAATATACTAATATATATTTATATTTATTTATTTATTTATTTATATAAATGAATAATATCAATTCTATACTCAGAGAGCGAGAGCTCCAACTTCTGAACCGAAAAAAACAATGTAGACATTAAAAGGATGGACCCAAGCAGAGAAAAAAGCACCAAAATAGATAAAAAAGTCATATTCTTTTTCACCCCATCAATCACCGCTCATTTTGTTGATTGTAAAGATTATCACATTTCTTGTTCCATTACGCACCAAGTCCGTCTAGCGGAAGAAATTTTCACGACCCCCAAAGTTCCTCCGACCAAGCAAGAATATATTAAACATACTCGGCTCAACCGTTCGTATTGAGTAGATTTCTTGGCATAATAGTGCATTGACCCATGCCAGCTAAGTGATTATTCACCATACCCTCGCATCGTTCACCACAGCAGGCAGAAATACAAGCTAAAGTAGCCACCAGCCAACATTAGACGTAACAAATTCCATTAGTTTACAATTCACTACACGGAAATTTCAGAAAACTATAACTTTAGAAAAAACGTTGAAACTTAGATTGACTAATAATAGAATATTAGTCAATATGTAGTTCAATGGTAAAGTGAAAAATCGTAACAATGATAATGTAGTAACGATAGCACAAAGTCGAACGTACAAAATATTATAAAAGGAATAATCTATCGTTGAAAATTCAAGCGCTGAAAACATGGAATCTATTTTTTTTTTGCGCAACTCTTCTTGCAGTTCATACAGCCTCTCTATTATTACTACTGCCGCTTTTGATCTCGACAATCCTCCTTCCCTGAAAGAACTTTCGAATTATGCCCTGTTGTTTCTTCCTTGGTATCCTTTTTCGGAAATAATTTTCCGAAAATATTGTTTAGATCAGACTGAATTTCCTTTGCTGTTGCATTTACTAAAACACTCATTGACTCACCCGTGAAGACACGCTCTCGACGCACAAGGCTATGAGCGAACCGCCGTATAACGCTGTTATTCGAGGCTTTTTTTATAAAGGTGCATAAAAGAAGCTTTCGGATGTAGTCAGACATTCTAAAGAAAATTTAGAAGTAAAAATGAAAATTTTTATGAGTCACAATAAATATGAATATAGTCAAAAGAGTAGTTAAAATAGTTCTTCTCTCTTGTGTATATATAAAAAAAATTAGTTGAATATTTATTGTGATGTTTCCGAAACCACATATCAGAAAAAGTCCTACTACTTTCCGTAGATTAAAGCTCACCACAACACTCAGCTTGATGTTCACATTGATGTGCTATTCTGATGGATTAGCTAAATGGATGTATTCAAGTAAAAAAAAAAATACTAAAGACCGGCTTATCAAAATTCAAATGTATTTTTATTCTCATTCCCGGGTGTTGCCTTTTCATCGCCTTTACCTATCCCTTAGCTTCCATCAGTATCATCAAAGTACTTAACCTTCTTCTTTTTTAAAATGCGGTATACAGCCTCTTTTGGTATCTTGAACTTTTCAAGTAGAATATCCACAAGTTTATCGGTTACATCACCCTGAATATCAATGCAGTCTTGGTGTACTCCGTCCGTCGCGTCACGCACACCTACCCCACAGGAGAATGTCTTTCGCCACTCCTTTGAAAGGTCTTTGAGGTTGAACCCAAAGAGATTCATCCCGGTGACGGTGGTAATCTTGCGTTTTCCGCTACGGCTTTCCAGCTCTAAGACTACGTGTCGTTCCAACGCCTTTTTGATGCCCTTTCCAGCTATCATAGCCTCAATATGCTCCTTTTCCGTAAGAATTCTGCGCTTTCGACCAAGATTATCGGCGTCAGCAAACTCAGGAGCGTGTTCAAGAAGCCAAGGTCGACACTTGTCCATCATTCCACCGAACTCACACATCTCTGCGGGAAATGTACAAAAAGGGCAGTACAAAACTTCAATAGGTGCTTTGTGAGCAGGCTCTGCGGCACCCTCATCTTCATGAATGCTATCCCCACCGTCACTTTGAGCGTCATTCAGTTCCAATTTGCTTGAAAATGGCTTCTGGCTACCATCGTGTGCATCGCTCAGCGTCTTTGTTTTTTTCTGCTTGTTACCTTGAATTTTTAGTTTATTACCCTTGTATTCCTTTTTCTTTGCAGTTTTTGGCTTTTGATCATCTTCAGAATTCGATTTGTCATCGTCCGGTGTCGCGCCCAAGATGGCATCGGCCTCACCATGGCTTGCACCATCCCCTCGGTGTTGCCCAACGGCATCCTTAAGATCGCTTGTTTCGGTCTCCAACGAGACATTATCGTCAGATGCGTCCTCATCTATTGACCTGAGCTTAGCTTGCGCCTTAGTTTTTCTTCTTCCCATCTTGGAAGAGAAAATGAATAATGTGAAAGTTTGCTCTAAACAATAATAGGAAATGAACGAGGAATCAATTGGAATTATCTGAAACCGATCTTCAGTAAAGATTGCTTCAGCACAAAGAATCGAGTTTTGGGTTTTTTCATGGTAAATTTGTACACTATTTATTACATAAAGGAACCCATAAATGAACACCAAACGCTTTTGCTTTTTCCCCTTATATGAGAGGAATAAATAAACACAAAATAAACACAATCTAAAGCTTTATGTGTAAAAAAAAAGCTGAGGATGTAGAGCTGAACATGGATTTTAGGAAAAAATGCAAACTAAATAGTCCTTTCGAGAATGAACTATCTTTTCAATGAAAGTTTTAACACAGTTACCTTGTTTCGTTAGAGCTAATAGAAGAACCAGAACAAAATAAAATCAATTCCGATGCAAAACAGAATATTGAAGAAAGCTTCTATCCCACGATTATGGACCTACAGCATAGACATCTTTGCATATTAAGGTAAAACAGACAGAAAATAAATCGAAAAAATCCAGGCAGATTCGAAATGGGAGGAAATCTAGCCAACAACAAAGTCTCTCCCTCTTCGACAACGATTAATACAGGTGTTTGAAGGAATAGTAATAATTGTTACACAGAGAAAAGAGAAGAATGTAGAATTGTTGAAGTATCTGAAAAAAAAATAAAACTCATTTTTTGAGTTTGTTATTCACATAATTAGTAGTAAAGTGCTTGAAATAAGCGATTGATTCCTCCCTTGCACCGCAAATACTTTGTTTTGTCAATCTTTTATCATTTCATTTGGGCATACAGAAAGGTTATTTCCTACCTACGACTTTTTTTTTAAAAGAGAGAGCGGGAGCAAATTCTGATGAAGGTCTGCGATACGGGCCAAGGTGTACAGACTTCAAGGATCCATTGTATTCACTTTCAGGAGTTTTTGGACTTCGACCTGAAGTCATAGATCCAGAACGGGGATTCACTTTTTGGGACGTCCCATTTAAAGAATTATGCCTTGATACGGTTTTTTTTGCGTCTAGAAGCGTCCTTGAAGATGTATTGAGGCCATTGTGGCGTTTAGCGGCATCTTTGAGTTGAGAAGAACCGGTGCGATGATCAGTGGGTTCCTGTTTAGGTGAAAAGCTACTTTCACCTATAACACCTGAATAAACGAGGGGTATATCAGATATTAGTCTAGAGAATCGCGGGTTGGAATGTTTCCTTGCAGAATTGCCATCATTACTACGGCGATCTATCTCTCGATTAGAAATTAAAGATGAAACAGAGCCACCATTTTCCAACTCTTCAACAGGCGATTGAGCTTTAGAGAGATGAAGCTTTGAGATTTTCTTAGGTGTTTGGGAGGGCTTTGAATGAGATTCAGTTGAAGTTTTTGGGCCTTGATCTGGCGAGGAAGATTGCATAGGAGGGAGGTGATGAGAAGCAGCCCTTGGTTTTTTCTTGGGATCTGCATAGCTCTTCAAATTTGTATTCTTGGCCTTATTGGTATTAAGTTTTGGTGATGGATTGTAGTTTTCGAAGGAAGGCAATTTTGTAACTAAATTTTGTGAAGTAGGATGAGATGAACGTACCCCTTTATCCTCTTTCAGTTTAGTTTTAGAAGAAGGCTTTTCAGATCGTACTGAACCCACTGAGGTCTTTCGGTCATTTAAAGACCTACCAGTTATATTTCCGCGAGCACTAGGTGAACGCCCGGTGCCACGGGAGCCGGGCCTCTTGTCCTTTGTCGGTGATGAAATGTTTCCAGGGCGTCCTGATCGTGCAGAAATCCCACTGTCATTTGTAGGCCTACCAGTTATATTCCCACGAGCACTAGGTGAACGCCCGGTGCCACGGGAGCCGGGCCTCTTGTCCTTTGTGGCTGACAAAATGTTTCCAGGGCTTCCTGATCGCGCAGAGACCTTGCGATTATTTACAGGTCTAGTGGACATGCTGCCGCGAGCACTAGGTGAACGCCCGGTGCCACGGGAACCGGGTCTCTTGTCCTTTGTCGGTGATGAAATGTTTCCAGGGCGTCCTGATCGTGCAGAGACCTTGCGATTATTTACAGGTCTAGTGGACATGCTGCCGCGAGCACTAGGTGAACGCCCGGTGCCACGGGAGCCGGGCCTCTTGTCCTTTGTGGCTGATAAAATGTTTCCAGGGCTTCCTGATCGCGCAGAGACCTTGCGATTATTTACAGGTCTAGTGGACATGCTGCCGCGAGCACTAGGTGAACGCCCGGTGCCACGGGAACCGGGCCTTTTGTCCTTTGTGGCTGATGAAATGTTCCTAGGGCGTCCTGATCTCGAAGAGGTCCTGCTGCCATTTGAAGACCTACTGGACATGCTGCTCCGAGCACTAGGTGAACGCCCGGTGCCACGGGAGCCGGGCCTCTTTTCCTTTGTGCCTGACAAAATGCTTCCAGGGCTTCCTGATCGCGCAGAGACCTTGCGATTATTTACAGGCCTAGTGGACATGCTGCCGCGAGCACTAGGTGAACGCCCGGTGCCACGGGAGCCGGGCCTCTTGTCCTTTGTCGGTGATGAAATGTTTCCAGGGCGTCCTGATCGCGCAGAGACTGTTCGATTATTTACAGGTCTAGTGGACATGCTGCCGCGAGCACTAGGTGAACGCCCGGTGCCACGGGAGCCGGGCCCCTTGTCCTTTGTGGCTGACGAAATGTTCCTAGGGCGTCCTGATCTCGAAGAGGTCCTGCTGCCATTTGAAGACCTACTGGACATGCTGCTACGAGCACTAGGTGACCGGCCCGTGCCACGAGAGCCGGATGTGCCTTGTTTCGATGATGGTGATGATTTATACGGTTTGAACTTTTTGTCGCCTTTCGTCTGGTCTCTCTGTAAAGAAGATCGAGACGATGGCCGCCTAGAACCACCATTTCCGACCCCTTCAGGAGAATGGAGGGCATCTTGTGATGGAAAGGTATAATCGTGATATTCCAATGAAGATAACTTGTCACTTGATTTTGTATCGTTCAACCTTTGACTACTATGTCGACGCACGTTTGTAGCACTGTTGCGAGATGATACCAATGATTGTGCACTGCCAGGCCGTGATGTTTTTTTTTTCTCAAATACAACGTCAGAATCCAGCTTCTGCTGAGTCTTAAAAATCATATCAAGGGCCTTGCGTGCATCAATGGAAGCGTCAATTAACTCATTCTTCACTTCTTCCGCTTCCCGAGCATTTTGCGCGATACTTTTCATGATGGTATCTACCTCTTCAGTATATTGATTGAGTTGCAGATTGCCATTGACATCGTTTGATATGTCAGTGATACGGAGAGGCACTGATGCTGAGCTACCGGAACTTGATCTTCTAAAACCACGAGCTGAAAGTGCAGACACTACATCATTGGTCAAATCCGCAACTCGCTGTTTGGACTCAATATTATCGATACGGTTACGTAGCGTTTCATCGGTATTAATTAACGAATTTACTTCTCTCCTCAACATCTCATCCAAAGACTCCAGCCCTCCCCGCATATGTTCCAAGTCCTGACACGTCACAAATGGACAATATTCTTCGCTAGGGTATTCTTTCAGTGCATGGTTGATCCTGTTTTCGATATTTTCATCGCTCAATCGATCCTGCTCAAGGGAAATAAACTCAGAAAGCTCACGGATTTGGTTTCGCAAATCCATGTGAGTAGCACGAATGGCAGTCTCTATGGTGCCGCGAATCTGTGCCAAACCACGATCTACTTCTTGGATGGAAGCTTGAAATTGTTTTTGCACATTTTCTAGACTTTTGTAAAGATCTACCAAACACTCAGCCTGCTTGTTAACTTCAATGTGCACTAGTTCCAAGGGGGACGCAAACCTCTCTAGAAGGAGTTTGTTCAGATCACTAATTTGACCTGCAAAATCCGAAGAAACAGCACTAATGCGCTCTTGGACAGCTGAAAGCTGTTCCTCAAGCACGTGGACCGTAGCCTGCCACTGATCCCTAAGGCTTAAAAAATCTTCTTTTATTCGTGTGCTTAGTTCTAATACACTTGCAGTCAAATTGCTGTCAATCTCCTGCATCCGGGCCTTGTGGTTTGAGAGTTCTTGCATCATCATCTTGTGAGATGTCTTTTGATTGTTATCAACACCCTGACTAAATTGCATGGTACTGGCAATGTCAGCTTTAAGGGCTTCATGCGAAGATTGAAGCGAGGCTTGAAGGGAGACACAACTCGCTGTCGTTCGATCGGAAAGCTCTTTAAGGCTAAGGCTCATTTGCTGAACTGATTGTACTATCCTCTCCTGCATACGATCATCAAGTATCTTCATAGAGGCATTCTGCTGATGTACGACCGTTTCAAGGGCGTGTTCTAGATGCGCCTTGGTGTTCTCCAGATCCCGTGATAAGGAGCTATGAACCTCACGCAGTGCCTCCCGGATGCTCGTCTCCAGGCTGTTCGTGCGCTGCTCGGCGCGGATGAGGTCGGCCTTGACCTGCTGCTGCAACGCCTGTGCGGACTCACGGGCGTACGCGTCGACGGTCTGGAGAACCTGGGATTGGGTTTGGATGGCACCGTTCAATGTTCGCATGGCCTCCGTGTTGGAATCCTCCCCTGATTTGATACGGAAGTACACGGCATCAATGCTGGACTGCAGCTTCTGCTCAAAGCCATGCAGGGTGGCATCAAATCGCTTTCCAAGCCCCTCCAGCAAGGCTCGATGGCCTTGCCCATCCGCCTGCAAGGCACTTATGCGGTCAGACTGACTCTGTAAAACGTTATTGGTTTTATCCGAGAACGCCGTCATACTATTGTTTCGCTCATTTATCAATAGATTGAGATGTTGCTGACCTTGCTCCCGCTGTTTCACCTCATTTCCAATAAACTTTTCTACATCCCCAAGACGATGCAAAAGGGTGGTGAGGATGTCTTCTTGGGCTCGTATAATATCCTCCAAAGAAACAAATCGGTTCGACAACGACTGAATCACCTCCGCCGTCATACTTGGCGTCGAATTTCTAATATGATAGAAACGGTTTAAAGTGGAACAATAAAAATAAGATTTCTTCAAAGAACTAATAATATTAAAATATATACTAAATTGTTTCCACTTTATACTGCAGGAAAACAAAGTTTACCCTAAGGTTCCTCAAATCTGATACAAAGATCAAAAAATGCAGTTTTATATAAATACTATTAAAGACGAAGATGCTCTATGGGTATGATCAAAGCTCTACAGCCCCCTTCTAAATGAAAGGGTAATTGATATAGACTTATCCTCTGATATAGGAGAATAATATAATATCGGCCTTCAAGTGGTAAAATATTTCGAAACAAAGAGGATTTGGAATTGTGCTAAAGGGGGATCAGTTAAAAATCGAATTGGATAGCATATACTCACTTAGGTAAGGAAAAGTACGTAAATTAATTGTGTAAAGCTAAGTTTGACTGTTTTAGCATATTGAAGATGATGCTTACTAACACAGACTTTAGCACTCCTCCGTTTATTTCTAAGATTAGCTTACTCGTTTAATTAAAATAATACACAGCAAGTAATACAATAACATTCTGCTCTTTATTGTGTTGAGGAAAGAAATCAAACGGGTCCCTTTAAATAATGATGGATAAACCCCCTCCTTACAAAATGGTGATTTTCTTCATCAACTCCTCTCTTTATCTTCTTCATACACCCACCACACACTTCTACCCTTTCACTCTCCATTTTCCTGAACACCCTAAACACGCACACGGGACTTCGGGGGTTCGTCTACCCCATCCACATCGCCAACCTCGATGCTTTTACGTGGTAAAGCATCCCGTGGAAGGTCGTTCAACTGCTCAGTAAAATGTGGCATCGTTGTCAGTTTATTGGGTTCCAGTGCGTGTGTCAGATAGTCCACATAATACGTCCGCCATAACAAGTTATGCTGACGCTGGCTGTGCTTTTTGGAGTACGCAAGGAACACTTCGATGAGCCCGCGCATCGATGGCATTTTTGCGATATCAATAAAGTGATACGTTCCAAAAAATGCGCTGAGGACCACGCTGGCGACGTTGTAATGCCGACTGTTGGTGAGCCACTCTCTCGTAAACTGAAGAAGCCGCAACAAGTTCTCGTTCATTAGGCTCGGAATAATTTCGGACTTCAGGGTATTTTCGCAGAGCATGAGGTCTTTGGCGCACCACTGCACCAGCACCTGCCGCAGGTGCCGCGGATGGCTTAATCGGAGAGCCAGGGAGAAGGCCTTGGCGAACTCGCCGCGTCGAATCGCATTGGCGAGGGTCTGCTCCTGTAAAATCCCGTCGCGGCGCTCCTGACGGAGGATCTCCGCCCCCTCAGCGGTGTAATCCTCAGTCGCGATGAGGGTCCCATCGGCGGCGCCGGAAAGGAAGAAGATTTCACCCGTCTCGGAGACCTCCTTCACGACCAGGGCCCACACTTTGCTACGGTGCAGCTCGGACGACCAAACTGCCTCCGACGCGCCAAGGGCCCACACGCGAAGCACGCCATCCGAGTTCCCCGTCACGAGCTGCGTCGCGTGGTTAAAAAAGGCGAGCTGCAAGACCGGAGTTTTGTCCGTCTGGAGGGTTTTAACGCAGGCTAAGGATACGAGGGACCAGAGACGGACGGCACCGTCGCTCGACGCAGACGCGAGAACGCGGTCCGTCGGCGAGAACGCCAACACTGAGATCCCCTTACGGTGTCCGTTAAGCGTCTTCTCCTTGTATAGCTTCTTACCTTTAACATTCCATAGGTGAATCAGCTTATCCTTCCCACCGGTCGCGACGTACTGATCGTTGGGAGAAACCGCAAGGGCAAACACCGGCCCGTTGTGCGCTGAGTTCACACCGGACTGGTGCGAAAACTGCGGTGGCGGCGACGCTTCGCCATCCGTTGATCGCTTGAGAAACGGTAGCACATACTTCGCAATATCCCAAAGTCGCAGGTTCTCATCGGCTGAAATGGTAAACAGCAACAAGCTCTCCGGTGTTTGTTTCGCGTTGAAGCACATCGATGAGATCTCGGCGATATGGCCTCCCACCCCACAAGCCACCGTCTGCCATGTCGTGGTCGACCAGAAACGCACCTCCGTGTCGGTCCCCCCGGTTGCGATGAGGGAACCGTCGCTGCTTACCGCGCAGCACATCACAATCCCGGAGTGCCCTCTCAGCGCCTGTCGGGAAAGGCAGCCAGGGGAGTGGTAAAGAAAAACATCCTTGCTGTTATTCACAACAATCCTCTCATAGGCATCACCTGCCACCCCATCCGGAAGCAGTTTGACATCAAAAATCTGATCCAGAAAGCCAACCAGGACGCTGCTCACGGTGTACTTCGCTTGAGCATGATCCGCACAAAGTCGGGAAATATTGAACCCGCCATCCGCAACGTATAACGATGACAGTTCCTTTTCACCCCTATTTGCCACCTTGAACCCTTTTAAACTGGGTTCAACACCGGCAGGACGCTCGGCAATGACGATGCAGCGAACCATCGCGTCCAGCGACTCCGCATCCTTCTCCGGCGCCGGGCCCGGAAGCGTTTCCGTTCGACAGATCAGCCGCACCGGCCCCGTCGTGCTTACGTGGTAGGTGCTCACCTGCCCATCTTGAGCGCCGATATGCAACACGCCTGGCGATTCAAACCGCGCACAGGTCAGGTGCTCCTTGACGACAACGCTGCGCTTATCAATAAGTTCCCGAGAGTCGGCGCGGAGCTCCAGAAAGGACAACCGTCGGTCTCGCGCAATTGCGCGGATGTAAGTTGCGTCCTCGTGGAGTACCGTGATCGCTTCAACCGCCTGGACATGCGGGCGGGCGTGCGCCAACAGCACCTTCTTCTGGAAATCGAACACGGAAAGATGTCCCTCGAAGGTGCCTAAAATCAGGAAGGACTCGGTGGGGTCCAGATAGACCGTTTGGATCAGACTTCCACTGGGACAACGCAGATTGTGCGTGAGGTGGTGATGGAACGCGTTCCACACTTTAATGCTACCGTCTGTTGAGCCCGACATAAGATACTGAGCACCACTAGAAAATTTAATCACAGAAATAGCGTGCTGCGCGGCGGTCCATTGATAAACAAGCTTAAGTTCCGCCTCAAAAGTCAATGCGTCCAATGTCTTGCTAAAGACTTTCTGGTCGTGACCTGACTCAATGTCAGCGACCTCATGCGTACCCGTTTCAGTGCTTTCCTCAGCATTTTTATTGGTCGGGTCTGGTACGGTTGGAATTGCCGTGCGCTCCTGATGATTCACTACTACCTGAAAAATGCAGAGCTGAAGAAGACGCGTACCGATTGCAATGTAACTTCCGGGTGGTACCTTGAGCTCTGCAACGTCACCACCGTCGGAATTCTTTTTTGAATAATTTTCCATCGCTCCGTCGTCAGGGTTATTCGCGTCAGGAGATTGAACCTTCGTGCTCTTACGCTTTTTGTTCAACCCTGCGGGACCCTTAGAAGCCGTTTCCAACTTTGTTATTGTATTAGCGTCCTTATTGGTCTCTATTGAAGGAGTAAAATAATCGGATTGTGATTCCAAGATGGTCACGGCATCCACACATAGGATGACATCCTCAATTGGTAGTGTGTAGCTGCAAAGCAAGCTACCGGTACGGTTGCACACAACATTCAATGTGTCGCCGCAGGCCATAATGAGTAGCTCTCGAAGCTTTTTATCCTCCGAGGGATCCACCTGGGAAGATGTATTAACGTCATTTTCTGAGAGCATGACACCAACACTGGCTATATTACCACCACTGTATATTGGCTTTTGGGCCCATCTCGTGCGAAAACAATTCTTCCCTTCCATAAGATATACGTCCTCAAGTAATATGTAACTACTGGAACTAAAATGGAATCGAATGAATCGTTCGTTTGAGTTCTTGAGGATCCTAAGAATCAAAATAAGTAATTAACCTGTGAAAACAATCAAACCGAAGTAAAGAAACGATCAACGAAAAGAAGGCTACAAGTACACAAACACAAATAAAAAAGGGGCTCCACAAATTAAAAAAATAAGATAGTAATCAATGATTAAGTAAGGGAAGAAGAAATATGCACCACAACATTTCTGATATGCAAACAAGTTATCCCATAATATTCTCTTCCCTCTTCGCTTGAATGAATTGAAGGTGTATAAATTGATTACTTTCCTTTTTTATATACGCTTTAATCGACCTCCCAGTTGTCATTAAAGCCGTCGTCTTCAAACGAAAACCCAGGTATCAGCTCCTTGATGTCAGAGATGCTTACCGTACCGGCGCCTTTGCCTCGTAACGCACGGCTGAGGGCATCGGTGACCGTTGCAGGCTCAAGAATGACCTGGCGCCGCCGTCGCTTGCGAACTTGTCGGAGTTCTTCAAGTCGCTCAATCTCTTCATGGGTCCTCGCTCGGCCCCGAGCCCACATCTCTTTGTAAAGAGCTTCCCCAATCTTTTGACGTCGGAGCCGCTCCTCGTTGTCAAGAATAAGATACGACAAAAGGTCAGTGCAGTCCTCGTCATCTATACTAGTTAACACACAAATTTCCCAAGGCATCGCGTGGCTCCTTTCATCGTCATAGAGGACCTGCTTTAGTAACCCCTGCGAAGCATCGTCGATGAGTGTGGAATTCCCCTCAGTCCCCTCCGCTGGGGAGGGACTGCACATCAGATTAGGCTGGACCATCGCATCGCGAAAGCCCGCGTTTTGCGTTGGCTCCAGGGTTAGGGTGCCTGCATCGTGCGAAAGGCCGCCTTTCATGTCGCCGTTGTCCCCAGGGAGATCTGAAAAGTCAAAATCCTCGCGAAGACCGCGGACCTCCGCATTGTCGGTAAGAAGCTCATGGTACTGATGCATCACCTGCTCAAACTGCGCCGGGTCGTCAAGGTTCACAGACGGGTACAACAGATCAGTTCCCGCGGCCTCGCCGGGTATCTCTCCGTCCTTGTATGCCGATTGAAAGGACCACCGGTTAGGAAATGCGCTAGAACCCCGCGAGGCTGAGTCCTCCTGTTTAAGCATAAGCTTCTCCTCCTCTCGCTTGACACTCGCCTCGACCTTTTCAGGCGGGATCGGCTTCGTGTGGGGTAGACCCAAAATGTGCAGCTGCTCCTGGGGGGTGAGATGCGCCAGGTCGAGGTTCTCCTCAAGAACCGCGACGCCGTTGAGCTCACCATGTCTGAGGAGGAATCGACGCCACCGCTCGCAGCGATCGAGCGTTGGCGGCTGGGAAAGCTTTGCCTCGGTGACGAGGCCGTAATAAAGTGAAGAAAGCTCGCGCGTCTCGGCGTTCATATCCTCCTCGGTCGCCCGCCGGCTGGACTCACCGAAGGCCGGCGGGAGCGTCTGCTCGCTTGGGCGGTACGTGTCGATGCTCTCCAACGATGCGGCAGGGGTCGCGGAGAACTCGTTAAGGCGGACTGCGATGGTGTGCGCAGTGAGCCGCGCCATCCCACACACCTGCTCCGGACTCTTGGGGATGCGAAAGACATAGCAGGAGACCAGCAAAGCAGCCGCACACACCCCCAACGGGCGCCGCCCGCACGAAATCCAGTCATCCCGCATCGCACGCAACACCTTCAGAGCACAAACCACAACCTCGGGGAGCCGCTTACCAATGTCCATTTGCTCCGCAAGCCGCTGAATAAGACAGGAGGGGTCGAGTGCCGGCACCTCCGTGTGCGTAACGCGGCAAATGGTCTTCATATATGTTAGAATGGCATGCGGGTTGTCACCACTGACTTCAGAAAAATCATAAATGATGTGCGAGGTGCGCTCCCGCCTGCAGACGGCATAGAGACAAGCAGTAAGAATGACACTACGATTCCCGGATATTGCGTTGAGCCCGAGTGCGAGCTTATAAATCCCAAGTGCCATCTCAACAAGATCATCGCTGATTTCCAACGTTCGCGCTATCGCGAACATCCCACGACGCGCAGCCTCGATCGTCGGTCGACCGTGAGTGGCAGTCATCCCAATGGCGGTGTGCGTCGGCCGAAGGCTGCCACCCAATGCACGGAGACCCGCACCACGTTGTCGAGGCGCCACTGCAGCACGAGCCCCGCGCGGAAAGGCCGGGTCGAGCTCAAATTGTGAATCGGAAATCAAATCCCCGCACAGAGTGCAGTAGGTCTGACCGCCCTCCCTGTCGGCGAGGAGAGTCGATGTAGGATGCTCGCACGCAGACATCCCCGCCCTCTCTGATTCCTCTCAAAGAATGGGATAAATAGCGTCCGTTACACTATAAAACCAAGAAATCCCGATGGAAGCTTCCTGTCATGAATGAGAAGAAGTAGAAAATATACAAACAGAAAGGCATTAAAACCGTTTAAATTCGCGCCCAACACCAATAAATTGAGGTTCAGATACAGTCTTATCAGAAAAGACCATTGTGAAGAAAAGTTGTGAGAGTGAAGAGCGATATTAACCTATTAAATACGCGGACATTCACACTGTAAGCAAAAAAAAATGGCAGTGGTTAGTGAATAAAGAGGAAGCTTTGGTGTCTGCATGTATATTTAACAAACAGATATACACCATGATCAACGATGGGAAAGACTACTAGGAGAAGTAAAGGCCTGAAAAACAAATCGAAAACGTGAACCTAGTTCATTAGCAGTTAAACGCTGAGCTCGCAGGCATATGGTCTCCAACTTCGAGTAAAAAGTGAACATATACCCTGGTCGATCAAAGAAAACTTCTACAACCACCTCGGTAGTTCCTGAATCTTTGCGAGTCCACCCAATTATTCGCTGTCTCATCAAATGTGGGATTTCATGAGGCAATATCTCAAAATAGATTTGCCGTAAGAACTCAGCCACACGATCTACCGGCGAGAGGTCGGTTGATTCCCGACGTGAATGCTCCCACGTCCCCTGAACGGCATACTGGCTTAGGCAATCCTTCAGTTCAACTAATCCTTTTCCATCTTTGACGCTCACCTCGTGAGTAGCAGATATCGGCAAATTCATTGATTCAAGGTCGGCACGCATAGAAAAGTATAATTCACGGTGCTTCGGAGTTTGCATCCGATCCATCATCGTCAACGCAAGCACAATCGGGAGATCGCGCGAGGCCGCACGCTGCACCACCTCTCGAGCAATGCGTTTGTGTTCCGTCTCGACAAACCCAAGCCCAATTGGAAGCACCAAGACGACTAAATCGGCACAAAAGATCGAATCCCACGCCTTTCCCGAGCTCACCCCATGTCGTTTGCGATCCTGTTGGGAGTTAATCATCACCACCCCTGGCGTATCCAGAAGAAGGAGCTGCGTTTGATGAATCGTGGCGACAGCCTTTGTCCAGTCCTTTGTGCTGCCGTAGCGGTTGCTCACCGCCCCCACTTGACTGAGCGCGAGGGCGTTCACCAGGGACGTCTTGCCTGCATTCTGAGGGCCGAGAAAAGTCGAATGGAGGAGATAGGTCGCCTCGCCCGGGCCGGAGGACCTGGTAGAAAGGGCTCCTCCCTCTCCCGCCGTGGGGGTTGCTTGCTCCTGAGGCGTCTCACCCGGGAGGCTAGCCCAGCGCGCTTTGTCAAGGAGTGGAAAAGCCGCCTCGACAGGGGTGTAGCGCCGTTCGCGGTAGATGCGGTGGAATCGGTTGGCAGCGGAGTCGACCTGGCCCTCGCGGCTGTCGGAGAGAACCGACGCGATGCGCTGCTCCCAGCGACGTCGATTGTGAAGAGAGACGCGCTGCCAAACATGTCGTCGCAGCATCGTAGCTGTAACAATAGATATTGATAGAAATAATCAGTTACCCTACAAAGAAAAGAAGAACACAGGGACTATGGAAATAAAAATGAATGGGGAAAAGAAACACAGAGATTTAATCAAAACATTGCAAAGACAAGTGAAAAATAAAAAAAACGGAACATAGGCTTTCGAATAGCTCTCTAACCCTTATATATAGAGAGAGAGAAAAGTAACCATTCACCCTGAATGTCTAATTGGATATTACAAAAGCAAACTTAAATTGTGGAGTGAGGAAAAAGGTATAAAAAAAATAGATAGCAATATAGTAATTGAAAATAAAGTTGTCTGTGCCAGTTACTCCCCAGTACGCATTAAAATCGTCCTCAACGCCTCTTTCACGGGAGCGCAGCATTGCTCAAAAGGATCCCCACTACCGCACAAGCAGCACACACGAGGCCTTGCGGGACGGAAGCCCATAACTCGAGTGCGATGGGCATCATCAAAAACACACCGCAGAGCGCTGGGGGTCCCCAACCCCTTCATTCGGACCAGCAGCGCGTGCTGTTGAGAGAAGGTGAAGGAAACAGCAGCTGTTGGTGCCGCCGTTGGGGGAAGACCGTCAGGGTTCAGACAACTGTCCGGGCCAGACGGGTTCTGTGGCATTTGCGGAGTGCGAAGGACGACTTTGTCCACAGACTTCGGGTCGAGATACCCCATAAGGTCAAAAAACTCCTCCCATTCGGACTCGGAGTAATTTTCAGAAAAATCGTCGATCACAGTCTCGAAACCGCCAGAGTGGACAGGTGCCACATTGCGCCTCAGAGACGACACGCCTTTTCCCTCAAATCGATGTCGGAAACTAAGAAAAGGTAATAAAAACGCAGATACAGGCAAAAGGAACATAATATATCCATTACAAAAATGGTAAATCATGAACCCAAATACCAACCAAATAAAAAAACTAAGAATGTATATATGAGATCTTTTCTTTAAAGATGGGTTCTTTTTACAGTCCTTTTCGTTGATTTCACCAATCTCATGGCTAACCTTTGCATTTCCACGTGGTCTCATACAACTTAGCATAAAATTCTTCTCACAAAGCATTCTATTTGCTACACAACTACAATGCTATTCTTATTAATCAACCTTATATCCATAACAAAAGAATGAAAATTGTTGAAAGATGCTGATACAAGACCATAGGAAAAAATCCATTCGGCTCCAAATCCATTTCGACAATCCCAGCGGTTTATTATAAAATAAACCGAAGGAATTTGACAATTTGAAACTTTGTGTATGACATAGGAATGATTACGAATATATATATATTTATATTCTAATTAGATTTTATAATATCATCCTCACTGATAAAATTGCCACTCATTTTCAGGAGTGTTGTCGTCCCTCGGCTTTGGGGGGCTTCGAAGATAAATTCACAAAAGATAAGATAATCTTTAACAGAAAAGCATAAAAACAGTGAGGAAAAACTTACCGTTTGTTTTTTTGAATTATTCCATAATTCTACTCTGTGTTTAACACAATGTCTGATATTCCCATATTGCATATACACACATTTAGTAAATTACATGTTACTAAACTATGGGATATACCTTTGAAACACAAATAATCGATTTGATTGCTCGTGTAAAATCGGTTAATAAGTATAAAAAGTTACTTTCTCCTGAATACCTACCAATGAGCTACTCGGCATGATCCGGTTCGTTTGGATTCTCCCTACGGATCCCTGCCATCTCTGACTCGCATCGCTCCAGTTGTTGCTTCAACTTTTTTTTCTCTCGCATTGTGCCCCATTTTATGAAGACAAAAACAATAATAAGTAAAATAATATTCATCGCAAAGTACAGTCCAAGAACCAGAAACCGATAAGTGAGCGTTACAATCGGAGTATCCTTTTTTTTTCCGGATGTGCCACTGAGTACGTGTGCGGTCCCTCTCGCAATAAGACTATCCATATCAAAACACTCATGGCCCTTCGCGTTGTAAGGCAATACAGTAGTCCTGAAGCTCGACATGTTTATTTGTATATATTTTTACTTCAAAATAACTTAAATCAATAAATACATATATGTATATATATATATATATATATATATATATTGAAATCTTACAAGCGCGTTCAACTCCTCAAGTTGTCTAAGTTACTTGAGTTTTAATATAATAATGTGAGATTTTTATCTCTACTGAACCTAGTCAGGTCACAGGAAAAGTAAAAAGAAGAAAAAAGTATCGGTCTTCATTAATCAATACAAACCATAGATCCGCACCATATATCTTCTAATTATTATTTGGTGTAGGGACAGGCGCCTCTGCTAGTATTCCATGTTGTGAATATAACTGTATAGATAATGTACAAATGGTATTCCAAAACATTTCCTGCAGCTTATCAATTAAATCACTCTACTTCCTTTCAATAACTAGACCAAGATATGCCGCAGGTCCCTAACCAAGGAGACTTTGTCTTTTTAGGACCTGTGGGATATGTTCCCTTCTTCCTAGCTTGGAAGTGGAATCCTGTTCGGGACCTCTCTAACAAGAACAACCACGTAATGTGGCGTTGGCCTGTGCTCTTGGAAAATACCTCATAAAAGAATAATCCCCGTGATAATGTAACACACACCCGTTACATGGGAAACAACGGAAAGAGGATTCTCAAACCCCATAAAATCGTCACTAGGCAGCATGCTGTTAATGGACATAAAGACACTGTGGTGACAATGCAATAGTGACATGCTGCCTATTATGTTTCACAACGCCGTCAACCGTGCATTGTGCATGTGTAAGTGCCATCACGAGCAGCTTGGTACATGTAGAAAAATAATAGAGAAAGGTTGCAAGAAGTATCTTTATAAAATGGTTATGCCTATATCGTAAATTTAAGCCGCGACAAGGAACCACGAAAAGAAAAAAAGGATCAATGAAGGGAACTCCTTTCGTATATGTATATACCACAGTTCTCTGTTTTCGATTCCGCACGATTTTTTTTAGATTCACAGTGCAAAGCACAAGAACAACTATATACAGAATAATTATATCATCAGCGCTAGAATAAGAAAATGATAGAAAGATATATATGATTTTCCCCAATAATTTATACAATAGTATCATTAATGAATTCACTAAACATATACAGCCAAAATTGTACAAGGGTACATGCTATTTAGCTTTAAAATATGCGCTTTCTGATTATTTTATCCATCGAAAATCTAACAATTATAAATTATATATATAGAACTATTATGATTCAACAAAGCATGTTTTCCTCCAAGACATATTGAAAAACACGTTCACCACATTTTAACAAAGTTGCGATTGAAGCTGTGAAAGAGAGCCATCAATGTACTTTTAAAACCCTGAAATAAATCAACTTATGAAGTTGTTAAACCACAGCATTTACGATGACTATCTTATCAATAAGAAAAAAAACATACCGAAATATTAATATATTGAAAAAATGGAAGCTTTCGCATTGTTTTAGAGATTACACACACAAGATACTTCCTCTTCGCGTGGTTCTCCAAAGGTTGATAAATTTATCAACCTGCTCCCCTTTTTAGTAGTCATTTTCGAATATTCTCTACTTTCGGTTGATTTTCATCAAGGAAAGAAAAGTTATCCTTTTATTTACTACACGATCATGCTATTATTGCCTCTCTTATTAAGGGTTTTCACACAGAAAGAACAATTCAAACAAATAAAAAACAGCAATTAGTATACTCATAGTATAACAGCATATGGTGTTACATCAATTTTAACAGCCTTCAAAAAGAAAGCCATATTATTATGAATCATAACTCTTCGGTATAAGAAAATAAGACAAAAAAATCTTGAGCTTTGCAATAAAGATAATGTCTTAATATTCACTTAAAACCCTTAACGCAAGAAAGTATCACATTTGTTGAAAACAATTCTCAAAATCACAAAGGAGGAACTCTTTTATGATCAGAAGTGTGGAAAAAGGGGGCAAATATCAACTATCGTACACTTTCTTATTTTCACGGAAGGGGGTAATATTCCTTTCTTTGAGCTAAACGCTCATTGCACACATAACCTGCAAGAATGAGTAAACTAAAAAATCTTTTTAATTTACCCTATTCGAGAATGTCATATTTTCCCTCAGAATTCCATACATTTCGGGTGTGTGGCTTTTGTGATTTTTTATATGACATCTCGATTATTTTCTACTGGGAAAGGACAACAAAAGAACAATTAAATATTTACGTGCTAATCAAAAAAAAGATCAGTCTAAAATAAATGAACTGCAGCATTGCTGAGCATCTTAAGCCTAGAAATAGAAAAAAACATAAATCAAGTGATAAGAACCTGTGAAATGTTAAAATGATAAAATATGAGATAAACTCAAAGTTCATTTCACCCCCACGTCTCGGAATATTTTGTACAGTCTACCCCTTTAAACATATCCCTGTTCCCTTCATCACGTGCAGGAAGAATAAAAAATTGATATGGTAACTCAAGTACATTATCAAAAAATAGAGAACAAAACGCGGCTCCGCTCTCATTAGATAAATAACAGAACCCAAACCTTGGTAAGAAAAAAGTCGGCTATTGACGAAAAAAACTGCAATAAAGTCATTCTAGACATCCCTCGCCTACGTTTCTCTTTTATATTAAATTCCATTGATGATCCTTAGCTTATGAAAAGGAAAGGCAGGAACCCTTTTTCCTCCTGTACAAATTGAATACAACTGTTCTATGCATTTCAGACATGGAATATCACAAGTGATACATAAAATGACAATAAGAAAAAAAAAGAATGAACCCTAACAATATCATCTTGGGCATCGTACAAAAAAATCTGAAAGAGAGAAACGAATTTTCCTCATTCTGATAATAATAATAATAATAAAGAAAAAACTATTCAATGTATGCCCAAATAGTTCCTCATAAGAATCCGTGTAAAAATGAGTGTGCCTACTGCGAAAGGGCACGATGAGAAGATAGGGTTTTTAGGATAAAAAAAGTAAAATTTAGCACGTTAACCCTTTCAAAGTGTTTTCGTAGTGTATGTGATTAAAAATGTGCTTAAAAAGTAACAACCTTGGCATGTGGCGAAAGAAAAGTTGAAAAAATTCTTTTGAACGCTGAAATATACTTTCATTTTTGATTGTGATCGAAAAGATAAGGGAAAAAATGCTTCACATTGTTTCCCTCTCGTCTTCCTTCTTTGATGCAAAAAAAAAAGGAAGCATTCTCCCATAGAGCTCGTTAGATAATTTTAATCGTTCCTAGCCTAGGTTGGTATGCTTTTCATTCTTATAAATGAAAAGATAAATATAAGTTTCGTTTCCTTCCAATAATATGTGTAAAATCATTCATTCTGACACCTTTTAGTCAATAGATTCTTTATTGGGACATTTATAATGCCTTCATTAAGTATTCACTATCATTACACTCCTTCCCTATAGTTTGTCAAAAGACATTTTAGATACGTTGTTATTAGATGGTTAACTCCCTTTTATTTCTGTTACACCGCATATCGAATAGGTGAGTATGAGTATGGGTCGGGTGTGACATTAAATATCCTCGTGTGTCTGTGTGTGAGTGTGTGTGGGGGGGGTGGGGGGGGGAAGGGGGGGGAGGAACTGTTCATTTAGACGATCAATTCAGGGGGTTCCTCGTGGACCACTCCCCTCCTTTATATCCTAGGACGAACTGCGGTTCTTAGCGTGGCTGGTGCTGTGCGGCCTGCATCATATACTGCTGCTGCATGGCCAGCATCTGCTGCTGCGTGTACGGATTGGGGGCCTGGTAGCCGTTAAAGTTGCTGCCGTAGTACATGTTCATGTTCGCGGCCGGGTTTGCGTTACCGTTATGTCGCTGTCGCTGGTTTCCAGTCGCGGCGAGCGCCACCTTCAGGCGCTTGTTGAGGATGTTGAACCCGTTCAGCTCCGCGATCGCCTGCTGGGCGCTGGTCGCCGCCTGAAACTTCACAAAGCCATACCCCCGGCTCTGGCGAGTGTCCCGGTCGCAGACAATCTTCACGCTCTCAATGGGGCCAAACCGCTCGAAAAGCTGACGAAGCTGCAGCTCGTCTACAGTAGTGGGAATGTAATTGACCATGAGGTTGCGCAGGGTCTCTGGCTCCGTGTTGTAGGCCTGCTGCGCCTGCTGGGGTACCATTTGTTGAGACATCATGAGGTGAGGTGGTGCTTAGGGATATGGGTTGGTTGAGGTTTGTACGTTAAAACTTCAGAAATATGTTAGACTATGAGGAAAAAAATTGTACCAAACACAAGACATAGGGAATGGGAAAAAGAAAGTTGGCGAAAGGCGATAGAAGGACGGCGATGCAATACAGATGTGTTTTTCCATAAGAAAAACAATTCAATGCAGTGAAGGAAATCGGATTAATTTCGCTCTACTTCAAATTTTCAGTTGCATAGCTTAATATCTATTAATAAATACTCCACACTGCATTCATTTATTTTGGGGGCGACGTTGAAAATTAATACTACATGTGTACATAACAATCCATCTCCCTCTCAATAATGACAGAGTGTATACTCTTCGGCTGCTATTAATATTTTCACCTTTCTTTTTGGAAAAAAACAAATTTAAAACATCTTAGAAAATATAAAAACTATTATATATCCTAGTTTTTTTTTTTATTAAACTCTGAGAAGCATATTATTTTCTACACCATATCTGAAAATTCAAGTGAAAAAAAATTATGCATATATATAAGGATATATAACCTTTTTGCCCTTCAGAATCTAACAAAAATACATATAGAAGAAACTAAACATTTAATTATTTCGTTCATCATCGCCGTGAAGAGTTTTTCCTTAATTTTCCCATTCAAATAGACAGATTTGTGTTGTTTAAAGCCTCTCCCACCGTATCCTCCTCCTTAAGTCTCCCTTCCCCCTCGATCGCCCCGCCTTTCTGGTCATCTCCCCATTTCTGTATCAGAAAACACATGTTGGTTGTGAAGAAAAAGATGAAAGATAAAATGAAACAAGGGCGCTAGTCATCAAAAATAGAAAATCTCACTTAGTGCGTATCACTGCTTGACAGTAACGAATAGAAATCAGCCCGCTATTATCAGATTTACCTCTTCCAGAATGGAAAAAAAATGAAAAAGAAAAAACACGGAAAGCAGTAAATGTAATAAGCGCCTGGAAAACAACGCGGTGGCAATACCTGGGGAATACAAAGAAATAGCATCAGGAAGAAAAACTGAAAAAAAAAAGATAGGACATGAGGAAGAAATTTGTAAACCGCATCCATTTATACGGTACTGAACTTTTAGGGCTTCCTCTTATGTTTCTAACGAAAAAAACCATGATTGCTAATAAATAAACAAGCCAACACCCATTGACCTCCAGTATTTCTTGTTTTTCTTTTTTATATATAAAGAAATCGAAGGAGCACTAGCTGATGAAATCCATAGTAAAAGCGACACGAAAAAAAGAGAATATGAAAGCGCACGCGTCAATGAAAGAAAGGGAGAAGGGGAGAAAAAAAATGAAAAGAGGCTGTTCCTTTCTGTCTGTCACAATGGGTATAGTACGATATGTGCATATATACCCATATAATAAATACATATTCGATTATATATATATATATATAATTTCTTTTAATTGCAAATGTATGGTGTCGTAAATTTACTATATAAAAATATTTTACACAAACGCTTTTAGTTTAGGATTTGGAGACGGATTTTGATGAAAAAAACTGAACTGTTCACATCATTGTTTAGCTTCTTCTATAGTGATTCACCCATCACATGTCTCTTTGCCGACTCCAAATTAATCAAACATTATTCACCTTTTCCTAATAATAAAAATATCACATGTAAATCTCCCAATTTGTATTTCTTTACCATTTGTAAGTAAAAAAAATGAAATTAAATTACCACCTTTGACCTGCACGCTACCATAGTTATAATAACACCACTTCCCATTTCACAAAGCATATCATATTCCCCTGAGTATTTTATTTCATTATTTTTTTTTTCCACATTAAGTAACTGGGAAAGAACTGAAATTATTTATTCAAGCCTAACTCACATACCCAGCACGAACTGCGGTTCTTAGCGTGGCTGGTGCTGTGCGGCCTGCATCATATACTGCTGCTGCATGGCCAGCATCTGCTGCTGCGTGTACGGATTGGGGGCCTGGTAGCCGTTAAAGTTGCTGCCGTAGTACATGTTCATGTTCGCGGCCGGGTTTGCGTTACCGTTATGTCGCTGTCGCTGGTTTCCAGTCGCGGCGAGCGCCACCTTCAGGCGCTTGTTGAGGATGTTGAACCCGTTCAGCTCCGCGATCGCCTGCTGGGCGCTGGTCGCCGCCTGAAACTTCACAAAGCCATACCCCCGGCTCTGGCGAGTGTCCCGGTCGCAGACAATCTTCACGCTCTCAATGGGGCCAAACCGATCGAAAAGCTGACGAAGCTGCAGCTCGTCTACAGTAGTGGGAATGTAATTGACCATGAGGTTGCGCAGGGTCTCTGGCTCCGTGTTGTAGGCCTGCTGCGCCTGCTGGGGTACCATTTGTTGAGACATCATGAGGTGAGGTGGTGTTTGGGAAGATGTCGAAAGTATCTTTTTTAAAGAAGATAAATAAACAAATAAATAAATAAAACTGAAAAGGCAAAAAAAAATGAAAGAAAAAGAAAAAGAAATCTTATTTTTGAAAAAATGAAAAAGGGAAAAAAATGAGAAAAATATAAAATGACATAAATTTACAAAAGACGCATTAGTAAGAAGATACAGTTTGGATTGTATAAAGTAAGAATACTCTCAAAAATAGACAAATAATAGCAGACTCATTATGTGATGAAATTGGAAAAAAATATTCGTGATTAGCAAAGTAATTAAATTTTGTCTGGGTTACTCCATTAGCAGGAATTTGTTAATAAAAACAAAATCATAGTTAGAACTAACAAATCAAAAGTAAAATACAAAGGAAGGTGTTTAGATATTTGCTCTTAGAGTCGAACGATACTTCGCTCAAGCGTATTTCTAAGAGTATTGTCTGTTTCTTTTTTACACATTTCGGTATTTCAACCCCCCCCCCCCCCCCCTACGGTCTGAGCACAATAAAAGTGGATGTCGAAAGACCACACTAAATTATCTGTGACAACCCTTAGTTACCCTAGCTCGAAGACAGAATCTGTGACTCCTTACTAAGGAAGGTCACTCGACTTCATCCATAGATGACCATTCAATGTTGATCGTTAGGCATCCACATCGAATGAACTTTATTCACAGCGAATAAAAAGCTAGGGTCTTCCCCACACCCCACGCCGGACGTCCTCCGCGCGGCGGATGAAGTCCTCCATGACGCGCCGCTCCGCAGGCCGCAGGAAGGGAGAGGAAGCAGAGGCAAGGAGGAGCCCCCTCGCGGCCGGGAGCAGCTCCACCCCGCAGTCCGGCCGCGTCGTACCGCCGCCAAACACGCCGCGGCGCCCTCCCGGCGAGCTCAGCCACTGCCCCAACGCGTTCTCATCCCGCAATACGCGATCCATCACCCTCACCGCCATACGACAAAGCCGACCCTTCCTGTCAGACAACCCCCAGACGCAACTCGAAGGCGATCGCACAGGGGAAAAGGGG